CTGGACGTCATCACTGTGAGTGCCCCGCCCGCTCCCCGAGCCGGCAGCCAGGGCCTCCGCCCAAGACAGTGGGCCACAGACGGTGGGGCCCCGGGGGCCGTGCGTCTCCGCAGAGCTGGTTGCTCACGGCCGTGGGGTGTCTCTTAAACAACTGTGTTGGGATTGGGTCACCCCCACACGTGGTCCAAGACCAGAAAGGCCTGCAGCGTCACGGGTGGAAACGTCCCCTGTGCCCCAGGGGGACTCATCTGGCTCCTCCTGGTCACTGTCACCGGGTGGCCTTGTATGGCCGTCGATTCGTGTACAGACTGTCCAGTCTGTAGGACAGTCCTCCTGGGTTCCAGGGGCGCCCCGCTCAACGGAGGCTGAGCCCCTCACACTCCTGCCGCAGCTGGTGAGCCGTCTGAGAGGTGGTTTTGCTGGTCTAGTCAGTGACGGCACAGCATCGCCTGTTCCCTTGGGTTTCTAAGCGTTTACCATGGAACGTTCCAGCATTCGGCAGCCGGCAGGCAGGCAGGGATGAGTGTGTGTGCCGGGCGCCAGCTGCGGCTCTGCCCCTCGCCTCCCCCGCCCTCGACAGTTTCTGAGTCGAGTCCACGCCGTAACCCAGACCTTCCCGCACGTTAGCCACGCTCATCAGCGCGCACGCCTGTGTCACGCGACAGGTGCACTGATTCCAGCCTCTCCTCGGAAGTGGCACCTCCTTTGTTAACCCTCACCTGGACGTTTCCCCCTTGTGTTTTAGAGAGAGTGGGAGGGAGGGCGGTGGAGGGAGAGAGACACCGATGCTTGCCTCCCACCCATGCCCGACCAGGGCCAGGGCGGAGACCAGGCAGGTGCGATGCGTATGCGGGTCCACGGCTGGTGAGAGCCAGCGAGAGAAACGCCGGCTCCTAAAGCCCGTGCGAATGCCCACAGCAGCTTCCTGCGTGACTGTCCCGCCCTGGGAGCAGGGGTCCGAGAACCGCCCCGTTCTGGGCAGTCAGCCGTCCTGAGAGCGTGACGCGTCCGGTGTGTCGTCCCAGGGACAGGAGCCAGGCCTCACGTGCACAGAAGAGAGCTGGCCGGTTGCAGGGACAGTGGTGGGAGGAGAGGGGACGGGACTTAGCTGAGCAGAGCGGGCGGGCCACCAAAGGGGACCCTCTTCCGCGAACATCAGGCCGGGCCGTGCGGCAGGAGCCTCCTGACCAGCGCCTGGCGCACGG